TACAATGTATCGCTGGTTGGTGGCCATGTTTGCGTGTTTGCTTGTCGTTAGTGGTCTCTCCACCGTGTACCTTTTTCTGTCTCTTATTTCTTGTTATTTTCGGCCTGGTTCCTTTTTGTCCTCATTCTTTTCATTTCATTTCCTCTTTCCTTACTGTTTCCTTTATTTTCTTCTCTTTTTCTCTTTTTCTCTTTTTTCTGTGCCAGATGGCCTTGTTTCTGCTTGCGTTGTGAAGTAGCAAGATTGAACCAAGGGGGTGTGCCTCATTCTCTCCGGCCCGTGATGGTGACTCCTAGTCTCAGTTGTTACCTCGCATAGCGCGCAGAGGGAGTGGAAGACTCCAGAATATCTGTCGTTGATTTCTATTGACTTGCGGACCCCTCGGGGCCATTTTGTTTGAGTGTACCTTTTTTGGGTAAGTTAGCCTGCGACCACGGGAATCGACCGCGTCGAGTGTACGAAGGCACTGGGCATAGAGAGATCGGAACGGTTTTTGATGTGAAGACAACAACAACAACAACAATGACTACCTGAGCCCGTCCAACGGCGGCTAGCAGCAGTGAACGAGTTCATTTTCTCGGTGGACTACCTTCCCATAATATCCTCGCCACTCCGTCGACTGCTGGCGCTGCTGGCGTTGCTGGCGCTAACAACAACCTACGGGAAAACTTGTCCGCATCGGATCTGTAGTCCATTTTGGCGATATTCAACCCGAAACGCATGCCTCCAGGGGGAAAAAATATGAAAATATGATGTCATCCCCAACATCCCCGGGTCCATTTTTTTTTTTTTTTCAATTTCCCCACCATGACATCAACACTATCACACTTCAAGGGTCTGCTGGTTGAAATCGACCGTATGTGGCTCTGTTTTACCGTTTTTAGAAGCGAGCTATCTTTTGGTATTTTCCAAACGAGCTTAGTCTAGACTATGGACTATTTTGGTCCAGCGGAAGTAACAATCAAGCGGTGGTACAACTTCAAGCGGGTGATCGGCGACGCCCAACAGTTAGTTGCAGATTAGAAAGGCTTTTTTGTGCCGAGTCATGATGTGCCCCCCTCTGTCCAGCGTGCGCTTGGTCTTGGTGTGTTGTGTTGGGTTCCGGCTGCTTTTTTGTGGACATTCTGCCGGACGGCGATTCGACGAAAATATACCATACTGCTGTGCCTACATAGCACAGCACCAACCGACAGGGGTGGTACCACCCTTGTCTATCTACAAGCAGCACTTACTTCATTTTCCCCGGGCGTCTATTTCTTCGATCTGGTACACCTACATGATACTCCCATCCACAGGCCAATGACACGCCCGTACACGTCACCACTGGTTTGAACAAGCAAATCATCGTCTTCTTTGTCACGCCAACAACTGAAATACTTGCGTTTGCAGCTGGTTGGCGCAGTCAGTAAAGAACCAATTTGCGTGATACATGCACACACGTGCGTACGCCCTTTCCCAACCCCAACCACTGAGTTTTTATATATTGCGCCGGGGTTTGCCAGTACCTTTTAAGTCGCCTTCCTCGCACCTTCGGCAGCAACATGTGCTCTGAATTCCTCAGAGCTTCTCTACCCTTATACATAAAACTTGCAGGGCATATATTCAACATCTATTCAAGGACTGCATTGAAATAGACGAATGGGCCTTTTCCACGGCACCTTCCCCATGTAATCTCCCCACTTAATATCTATGGTTCACGCCTAAAATGGTGCGTGCTTCCACCCTTGCCAGAAAAGCGGTCATTTCTCAAACCACTGCTGACTGCCCTACCGCAACTGAAACTCTTCATGGTCCCCTGACCCATCCATTCCTCCACCCGTCGTCGTGATCCCGTCCAATGCAGCACGCGTACGGGGCATCAGCGACCGACTGGCTGAAGGAAACTGACGTCGAAAACGCCACATTCACGCTCAGCAGAACATAGCGAAGTGCAGGGCGGAAACGATATTCAACGAGCCCAATTCTTGAACTCCATGGCGGTGCGCGCAGGGTTCAGTGCCCGAAGCGAGAGAAGTAGTAGTTGAACGTTGGCTTGATGACATCATTGATGTTGGTGATCTGCCACTCCAGCTCGGCGTCTTTCCCGATGTTGCTCTGAAGCGTAATGTAGTGCACCTGAGGGGGGGGGGGGGGGGG